TGCCCAGTCTGTGATGTTGTATTATTAGCAACAGAAAACAAAGACAGAAGGCAGTGCTTGCTCTATTGGACCAAGGAGGTTTTGTTGTTCTGCCCTAGTTGGAGCCAAATGGCTTCTTTCAGTAAGGACCCTGGGTGGGAGTGAAAAGTGCTGACCTGAATCACCAAAAACAGAGATTTACATTAAACACTACAAGTTAGTAAGGAAATGGTATCCAGAGACACTTACACTGACATATCCCTGTCCACCCTCCATGGGTTACACATCTGTGTTCATAAGGGATTTTTAATGCTCATTTTATTAGGCTGGGTAAGTCACAAAAGTCCAAGTTGTTATAATAATAATTTATTATTATTTAAATCACAAATGTGCTTATAGACTCTTTTTTGTGTTTGATTTATTTTATTTTAATTAATGAAGGGGAAATATTGAAAGGACATTTCTCCATGTTAGTCTCCAAACAAGGCCCGGGATTTACTTTAATCATATAACCTGCATCATCTGTTCAGGGGGAGGAGGGGATGCTGCACTCTTTGGTCAGGTTTACTTACACCCATCCTGCTTCTCTAGCTCCCCTACCGGGGGTCCCAGCCAATGAGGAGAAATGGTTCCTGGAAGTGAGGAAGCATCAGGAATTTGAAATAACATCCCTTCAATATGGTTTGAGGAAGCAATTAGGTGGTATATCTCAGCTTCTATAAAAGAGATGGTATCTTTTGACCCAGTGCCTCTCCTTCTAGAAGTGTCTTGGGAAATAATTGAGAATGTGGTCCAGGGAAGAAGAGGACGTTTTCACTCTGTGGAAAGCTCTATTTTCAGTTGCCAATCTTCTGTGGGTCTTTGGTGCTGTTCACTTGTACTGGACAGGTCCCTTCAAGTCAGGCCCTGAGCTTTCAGAAACTGCTTCTGGAGGTGGGGAAACAGCAGGATCTGTCAGCTGGTAACCGAGGGCCATTTGGAGCCCAAAATAACTCAGCTCTGTGCTCCACTCCCCACCAAGTCTGTCAGGTGGCCTCCTAGAGGCAAAGCCAGGTGCATTCCCAGTCTTGGCAAGCACGGTCGCGAGCTCAGGAGTACATCCCAGTACCCCCATAGCATCCCTTCAGACACCAAGGAACAGGGAGGAGCCTTTCAGAGGACCCAAACTGCAATAAGATGCGCCTCAGCTTTAGGCTTTGCCAGAAGGGAAAGAGGAGGACCCCAGAGTTTGTTGGGCTCTGCACTGCTCAGAGCAGCTGTGTATGAACTGGCATGATCCAGGTCCAAGTGTGGGGAGTGGGGCTGGTCAAAGGTTCTGATGCAAAGTGTGAGGAGGGCTGAGCTGTGGGCTGGAGCTTCTCCTTCATGAGAATCCAACAGGACATGCTTAGGGAGCTCCGCAACCCCTGGAGACTGGGCCACTTTGGGGTTTCCTAGAATCAGGTGGCCCTCCCCAGCTCCCAGCCCCTTATCCCAGCTCCCCTGTTGAATCTCCAGGCCATATCTGTTCTCTACTTAACCATGACCAATTCTTCTTCACAGAACCATGCCCAGGAGTTGGACCTAGAGTTGGGAGCCCAGGCATCCAGGGACGTCCACTAGTCACCAGCAGTGACCTTGTCCACCCACATTACCTCTCAGGGGCCAGGTATGTTCCTCTGTGAAGTGAGCAATCATTCCCATATAGTTGTTTAAGTACTGAGTGATAGAAAACAGAAGACACATATGCATGATGCAGAGTTTTTCTTCTTTGAATTAAAACTCCTGGAGGTCAGAACCTGAATGGGGAAGTAAAGCAGGTGCTTCACCCAGGACCCTTGGAAATAGGCCTTAGTTCAGTTCCCTACCCCCTAATACAAAGGGGATGGTCCTTGTTCCTGAAAGAGCAGCAGAAGCTGTCCCAAGCAAAGATGCCAATGTGACTCCCTCAATGATGCCCTGAGCCATCAGATACATACCCAGGGGGCACTACTGCCTTGGCCACTGTGATAAAGTAAGGAATGCAGGCCTCTTCTGAGAGCTTCTGGGGCCCCTGCAGAGAAAAAGTATAACTGAATGGAGACTGAAACAGGAGCTCTGAGGAGGCCAAGCTGCTTGGATCTTTCTCATGGCAGGGGAAGGAAGAGGCCATAAGTTCCTGGTGCTTCCAGATATTTAGAGATATTTATAACTTATAGAGTTATAAGGCCAGCATCACACTCTACTACTGAGCTAAGCTCCCAGCCCTATTACAAAAATTTTACAAAGATATAATGGGGAAAAGGAAAGCGAATTATTGGGCAAGAATGTCTAAAATTCTACACATACTATGGCAAGAGCAGAATAGCTCTGATTTGGAGATGTGGGCTGTCCTATTTCTTTTTTGGTTGCTATACCAGAATACCTGAGAACAGATAATTTATTTTAAAAAATAGAGTTTTATTTTGGCTCATGGTTCTGGAAGCTGGGTAGTCTAAAATCGTGATTCTTACGAGGACCTCATGCTGTTTCAATTCCTGGTAGCAAGCCAAGGAGCAAATGAGTTTGTGTGGAAGAGGAGAAATCACATTCTATAAGGATTCACTCTCCAAGTAACCAATCCAATCCCATGAGAAAGGCATTAATACTTTTAACTATCTAATCAGCCTAAATGCCCTACCTATCAGCATAGCCACTATGGCAATCAAGTTGCAGAGAGGATCAACAATATTCAGTCCAGAACATGAGACTATTATTACCTTCAAGGCCAGCTCAGCAGGGATAATTCCCAGTAGCTATTGATGCCTGGTTGCAGAAAGTCCAGCTAGCAGGCTAGATGAGCAGGATAGTGGGTTATCTGGGTCACAGCCAGCATGGAAATTCTGGTGGACCAGGGGGGCAGAGGCAGCAAGTCTTTTGGGCACAGAGCCTCAGATAGCAGGTGGAACAGTTACCACCTGTATTGTAGTTCCAGCCGCTGGCAGGCAGTGAGTTCCCAAGGGGAGAGCTGACCTTGGGGGCCCAGCCCAGGTGGTGTGATGTTTGCTTTGTCATTTGATCTCACTGGCTCTTCTCCCTGTTCCGAGCAGGTGAGGACACTTGTTAGAACTCAGGGGAGTGTCTTCCTGGCATGGTAGTCCTCACAGGGCCCTCCTCCTGCAGTATCCTTTGCCTCTGTCCCTTCCACCTGCTTAGCCCAGTGCCTACTCAGGAAAGTTTGCCTGGAGAATATGCCCTCTCTAGTCCCCAAGAAGTAATGAGAACAACATTGCCTTGACCAACCACCTGCAGGATGGGGATTATAAATTGGCCACCTGGGAGCTAGAGATGTCATTTCTAAATGTACCTTTGAAATGCCTCACAGCATGGCCTCCAAGGTGACTTTTTTAAAAAGCAGAATTATAGTGAGCCCTCTGTATCTGCAAATTCTGCATCCATGGATCCCACCAACTACAGAAGAAAATATTTAGAAAAATATTGTGTCTGTTCAAAATACAAACATTTTTCTTATTTTTCCCTAAATAATACAATAAAATGACTGTTACATGACACTTACATTGCATTATATATTATTAGAGGTGGTTATAATATATATCATATATATTAGAGATGGTTTAAAATATACAAGAGGATATGTGTAAGTGTTATATGCAAATACTACAACTCTTCTTTTTTCCAATATTGAAAATGGAACCATGGATGCTCTACCACTGAACTATATCCCCAGCCCTTTTTATTTTTTATTTTGAGATGGGGTCTTGCTAGGTTTCCAGGCTGGCCTCAACCTCACCAACCTCCAACCTCAGCCTCCTGAGTAACTTGGGTTATAGGTGTGCATCACTGCCCAGCCAATACTACATTTTTTTAATAAAAGGGACTTGAGCATCTATGGATTCTAGTATCCACAGGGATCTTGGAACCACTTCCTGTGGATATCAAGGGAAAACTGTACCGGCCACTCTGAAAGTCAGAATAGAAACATGAGAGTTGAGTCCTGGTGTCCCTTAAACCTGGAAGGTATAGGCATGTGATCAGCCCCTTGGGAGTCCAGCAAAGCCTGTGTTTTTTCATCACCACATCCCAGGCCACTCTCTAAAAGCCTCACACTGAGGAGAAGTGACAGAGCCTTTAGCACTTTCTTGCCCTGTGTTTTTGTATGGATGGATGAAGATGAACCGTACATTCCTAGTACGTACATCTCTGTCAAAAGCAGGGAAATGAAAAATCCAGTTCTCCTCTAGGCTGTGCCTTCATATCAGTCCCAAGGCCCATCATACTCTTGTCCCTGTAGACCTCTTCCAGTCTCCCAGACAGGAGTTAGGCTTAGGTCATCCTGTCCTAGAAACTTTGCCAGTGCCAGAGTCCAAGAGCAGAGTGGGCTCTGTGCCTGTCAGCATGACCTAGAGAAGGAAGCATCCCAGTTGGGCATTGGTGGAGGTCAGGATGCCCCCCATTTCAGGGCAAATTGTGGGGGTCCTTTCCCTTCCGTCCACCTGCTTCTCTGTGACCAAATCCCAGGCAACCCATGCTAGGTGTCCCCTTAACTGTTGCAGGAGCCGGAGGACCTCTAGCTGTGGACCTGATGCAGGATGAGGAGATGTACCTAGGCAATGGGAATAGATGTAGGCAGGGAAACTGAGGCAGAAGTGCATGCCTAGACCAAAGGCAGGAAGAGGAAATCTGACACAGAAGCCATTCAAGCCCCCTCCCACAGCTGATCTGCCACAGGTTTGGCTCTTATGTCAGGTCTCCACCAGCTGGATCTTCCAGGAAGGCATCTTATTGGCCCAGACTTGGCTGGTGCCCACCTCTTGGCCAGGGGAGCATGGTGCCTCCACTGACTATCTCAGCAAGACAGTTGCTTTTTCATCAGAGAATGATATTATTTCCCAAAGCAAAAATCTAAAGGTCTAACCAGAGAGAGAAAAAAAACTGGATGCTAAGAGGGCAAATCAAACAGACAGAAGCTCTAGGAGGGGCGAATTTGGGTCCAAGCTCAGGTCTAGGATGGAAAGAGAACTAGACCCTCGGAGGGGCTGCAGGAAGCTCAAGAATGACATGTGGTACTTGGTTCTGCAGCACTTATACTAAGGTTGAAACGATACAGAGATTAGCATGGCCCCTGCACAAGGATGACAGGCAGATTAATGAAGCATTCCATATAAAAAAAATTATGTGTGGGATAACCTTGGCACAGGACCCTGGGGAACCAAACACCATGCTTGGGGAACTGGCCTGTCCCAGGATGGCTGTTGTAACCAAAAGGCCAGCTAATATGTACTCCTCTGTTCATGTCCAGGGCACATTCAGGAGTTTGACTGTGTCCTCTGAGCTCTGTGGCTTGGGGCCAGAAGCATCAATGGCTATGTGAGTGATTGGAAGAACAAGGAGTGGACCTCAGAAACACCTGTCTATTCTCAAATTGCATCTCTGCCAGGTATACGTGGCATGTGAGCTGGCCACCTGCCTTTAACTCTCTAAGCCTCAGTTTTCTTACAGGTGAGGAGGGGGGCCGGCTATAGGATGATTTGGAGGTCAGGCAGAGAGGAATGGCCCTGTGAACTCTCCTGGGCCAGGTCCCTAAGCATTAGCCAGCTCCTCCCTCCCACTGGCCCCACTGCTTGAATGCCTGGCATGTTCGCCAGCCCTTCATCTCCATCTGCACTAATTTGTCTTCAACACCTCTTACCTGTATCACCGGAGTCACTTAAACATGACACATCTTTACTAAGCACGCTATGTTCTGGGCACAGGGTCAGGCCTCTGGGGTGTAGCAGTGAGCAAGCCAGTCTCCTTTTAGAGAGCATAGCAAGATTAAAGCCAGTGTGGGGTCTTGGGGGATGGGGAGTTGGGATCCTGGGGAGTCACAAGAGGGCAGCCTGGACAAGACCATCGACGTGTGTTTGAGCTTGTCAAGGAATTCACCCTGATCATAGGGGACCCTCGCCAGGGGTGGTCAAAAAGTAGACTTTGCAGCTCAAACCTTGGCTCAGCCACTTCAGTTTTGTGCCAGAGCAAGGCATTACCTCTCAGTAAATGTCCCCTTGGTATCCTTGTCACAGGGTGGGCATGTACCCCCAACCCTACTCACTATTCACACAGCCCCAAAATATGTCCAGGTCTTCCTGGGGTCTTTCATCCTGGAGGCTGCATCTGAGCACCAGGCTTTACATTCAGCTTGAATGAATGACACTAAAATAATAACAGGGCAAGCAGAGGGCATGTCAACGATGCATTCGTCAGTGCCCCATTACAGTCTTTGCCCACATGAACATTATCATTTGTATTCTGTGCAATTTTCTCTCCTGCTGTTTTAATCTCATTATGCCATAACCATTTTCTTTGTTATTACTGGACGTTCATAACCATAATTTCCACAGCGAAAGAAAATCCACCGATGGGTGTGTGATTGTCTCCTTGTCTGTTCTTGTTCATCATCTTACAGCATTCTAGAATGAGTTCACTGTTTATAATTAATACAAAGCAAATAATTTTTTCCAGAGCTTTTTTTCCTCTAGGTTAATCTCATGGAGTAAATTGCCAAGAATTTGATGAGGGTGAAAAGACCTAAGAACATAAGGATCTTGGCACATCGATCTTGATACAATTTAAAGGGAGTGTGACACTGTACACCTCACCTCCAGTAATGTTTTCAGGGGCTACTCCAACATGCCTGCCAGCATTGGTTATTTTATTGTCTTATTTATTTCATGGATATTGCTATAGTTTGGATCTTAAGTATCCCCCAAAGGTCCACATATTAAAGATTTTGTCCCCAGCATCGTGCTATTGGGAAGGAATAAAAATTTTTTTGATCATTATTATTTTTTTCTTGCCAGGTATGGTGGCTTACACTTGTAATCCCAGCATCTCAGGAGGCTGAGGCAGGAGGATCATGAATTCAAAACCAGCCTCTGCAAATTGGCGAGGCCCTAAACAACTTAGCAAGACTCTGTCTCAAAACAAAAAGGGCTGGGATGTGATTCAGTGGTTAGGCACTCTTGGGTTCAATCCGATGTAACTCCTCCCCCCAAAAAAAGACTAAATACTATCCCATTTGTATGGATAGACTACATTTTATTTATCCATCAGTGGACACTTCAACTGCTTTATCATTGACTTCGGATTTTTTTAAGTGCTGTTGATCAAACCCAGAGCTTTGAGCATGGTAAGCGAGTATTCTACTACTGAGCCATATCCCCAGACTTCATCACTGGCTTTTAAAATTACTCTCAGATGCCTGGTGTAGTGGTGCACATCTGTAATTTCAGCTACTTGGGAGGATGAAGCAGGAGGATCACAAGTTCAAGGTTGGCCTGGAAAACTTAGCAAGACCCTGTCTGAAAATTTAAAAAATAAAAATAAAAAGGGATGGGGAAGAGCATCCTAGACTTAGTCCCTAATATCACAAAAATTAAAAAATTACTCCTGGATATTCAAACAATGGAATACTATGAGGCAGAAAAAAAATCTCCTGTCCTGCTATGGAAAGATCTCCCAAATGCATTGTTAATGGAAAGAGACCAACACAGGACAGTGTGGATTCTGTGCTAGTTTTTTGTATAATAAAGAGGGGGACTATATATATTTATATTTCCTTGTCCTTGTCCAAAACTAATGAAAGCAAGTACAAGAGGGGTTGGGCTGAGACATCCACCTCCACAGGCCTCTTTGGCTGTGTTTTTGCACAGGGGAACATGATGCACCCCATCATTCTGCATTCTCCCTGATCTCCAGTGGTGGCAGCTCTTATCTCATTTTCTCTTGAATAGTCTCCTGAGATCATCCAACCACAACCAGAGAGTTGCCACTCCTGAAAGAGCATGTGCCCCAGTGGGACAGTCTCTATGCATAACTTTGCCTGTATATTGTCAGCTTTCCTTCACCAGCCCCATGAGGCTGTGCTTTGACCCCCAGTGCCTAGAACAGTGCCAGGAGTCCCTCCCTGCATGTATGCAATACCCCTGACAAGCAGAAGAAACCCAGGCCTGGGACCAGCTGGAGACACAATGGGTATTTGGAGGTCAGAGGGCTCCCAGCAGCCTGTCCCTTCTTTAGGCATCCCTGTGGGTTTTGCATCCCATGATGGTTTTGCAACTCTCAACCCCAGTCCCCAGGCTGATCTAGCTGCTCCAAAGCACAGCTGAGCCTGAGAACCATCCTTACCAACCCAACCCCATCCATTGTGCCCAGTGCCCTGCATAGAGCGCCCAGTTCCAGGCCAGCCCCCAAGGTACTCTGAGAGCTTCCAGGGTTACTTCTTGAAGGACTCTTACTCAGAAGGGCCCCTCTCTGACTCCTTCCACCATCTGCCCTGCCCTGCAGAGAAGTTCCCAGTTCACTTCTAGCCCCAGTACTGGCTGATCTATCTTTGAGAAAATTGGACTGGGATCTGGGGAAGGCTCGATGCTGCACTGGAAAGAAGTGTCAGGCAACTGGTGGGATGGAACAGAACTTGACAGCTGATGAGTTTTCTGTCCTGTGGAATTACTCAGGCACTGAGCTCTGAACATGAGGCAGAGCCAGAGCACCCTGCAGAGCTGGCCACCACTCCCCGCTGAGCATCTGCAGCTCCCTATGTGCCCACATATGCATCAGCCACCCCACTGGGAAAGACAGAAGGTAATTTTGTGAAATGTTAGTTTCATCAGCTGAAAACTGAATGCTTACAGCTTAGCTGGGGAATGTGAAAATAAAGCTGTGATTGTCACCAGGGTCAGCACTGTGCAGAATGCCATCACACAGATGCCAAGCCCTCCCCATGCTGTAGCCCAGTCCCAGTTCCTCTCATAACCACAGGCCCATGGGACAGTCCTCTGAAGGGTTCCCTTTGATACCCTATATCATCTCTGACTTCCCATGTCCTTCTGTCTCTACCTTTTGGGCAGAGTCACTCAGGGGCTAAAAGAGACAGAAATTAATTAGGGTCTGCTTTGGGGGCAGAAGGGACAGGGCAAGCAGGGGACACTGTGAGTCCGGTGGTGAGCTCACAGGACTCTGTGATTGAGAATATAGGGGTGACCCCAACATCTAGGGTGGGGACTGGTTGAACCGTCACAGGCTTGCTCAAGACATGTCACCATGAGGGCCTCTTCCCTTTCAAGGAAGACCAGCCTACGGGAATGTGCGGAAGAGACTCAGAGAGAACACACAGGCTTCCTGAACATGGAATAGAGGGAAGCCAGGTCACAGAGGATACGCTCTGGTCTTTGTCTAAAGGAGGTTTGGATGAAGATGACAGCGTAACAGCCACAGCTGACCTATCTCCAGGTCAGGTCCAGAAAAGCAGTGCCTCAGACCTCCGACAAGGCTAACAGGGAGAGTCCACTGATGCCAATCAGAGGCCAGGAATCACCCTGGGACAGGGGGACACTGAGGGAAGCAGAGAAGACCCAACTAAGAAGGGGGCATTTCAACCACATCTAGAGGGATGGAAGAGAGAAGATGATAGGAAAGCCACCCTTCAGTGGGAACCATGTGTATGGTGGCTCAGAGTTGGAGAAAGCCTTGTAATAGAGTATGTGGCTGGTGCCAGCAGCATGCAATGGAGGGTGGTAGGAGGTGATGCTGGACAGGTCAGCTGGTCTAGATCACAAAAATGCTGGGATGCCAGGCTACAGAGGGCAGTGGTTTTGAATGTACCTGAGAGAACCCCAACTTAAATAGGTGTACATATGGAAAAAGTCCACAGAGCAACTTCAGGCATAATAGAATCTCCAATGCTGTTTCCCACTTTCCTAGTCCTTAATAGTGACACCAGCTCAGGGGCCCCAGAGGAAAGAGAGCTTCCAAGTGCCAAAGAAGTTCTGGGGTTGTGCCTGAGCCCCCAAATTTTGATCAGGCTTTGAACCAATCTTTGCAGCCAGCAGCAGGAGAAAATATGCTGATGATACAAGACTCGTTAAAAGCAACCTTCAGGGAGAGAAACTGGAAATAGAAGTGTTTGGCTCCTGGGGGAAGAGTTGAAGGGTTTAACAAGGAGAACAGATGCTGTACTATGAGGTAGGAGGGCCCTGGCAGCCTGCCCAGGAAGCGATCACTGGATTTAAGAGATCACACAGAGGTGAATATGGAAGGCAGAGTCCTTCCAGCCTGGAACCCAGGGAACCTAGGCTCCCCGCTCAGGTGCACCCCAAATTGCTCCTTGCCATTGCAGGCAGGCATGCCCCGGACCCTGAGCACCTCCGACATGGTCACCCCAGGCAGACTCAGCCCACCCCCTACAGAGCCCACCGATGGCGAGCAGGCTGGGCAGCCCTTCCTGGATGGAGCACCATCCTCAGCCTCTCTGGACACCCTGATTCAGCACCTGGTACCCACAGCTGACTACTACCCAGAGGTGGGTGAGCCACCCAGCGGGAGGAAGGGGAGAGGGGAAGGAAGAAGGGAGGCTCTCTCCTTCACTTAGGAGTGGAGCAGGCAGCAGGGCTGGGATTGACCTCGGGCCTGGCGAGGTGGAACAGGCTGGAAATATGTCCTCCCTCCGTGCCCTCTTGTGCTTGTGCCATCTTTCTTGCAGAAAGCTTATATCTTCACCTTTCTACTGAGCTCTCGCCTCTTCATCGAGCCTCGGGAGCTCCTGGCCAGGGTCTGCCACCTATGTATTGAGCAGCAGCAGCTGGACAAACCGGTACTGGACAAGGTGAGGGGCTGGAAGACCAGGGAGCCTCTGAAATCAACCTCTCGGGGAGGCAGTGATTGTCCCTATTCTCCTGACAAGAAGCCTATTGGGCTTTCTCACTTGTCTGAAGTCCAGGCCCTAAAAGGACAGAGCCAAGGTCTGTTCTGCTATGCAGTTTTCCAGGGCTCTGTGGAAACCCTTGAGCTCACATTGAACCCAGTCCTGGGTTTCCAAAACTCAGTGAATAGTATTCCTGCTCTCTGTGAACTGGGATGGTCCTATGGCCTCCACTAGACTTCCTTCACCCAGTACGCTCGATTCCATGTCCCTGCTCTCTGGCGTCTGTTGATAGCCCAGCCTTCCCATGGTTCTTCACATCTTTCCTCTGTTACTGGCCTGATCGTGCCTACTGTCACTATTTATATGCATGTCAGTTAGGTTGTACTGTGATGATGACAAAAACTCGGCTTCAGCTGGCCTAAGGCAAGGGGTTCATTTAACTGCCAAGTCTCGGGTACTGCTGCCTCCAGAGGATTAAATGACAGCATTAAAACCTTATCTTCCTCATTCTGATCCTCTGCTGTGGTTTTTCTCTGGGTTTGCTGGCCTCATTCTAGCTCTTGCAGGTTCTCCTGAGTGGTACATGGCCTCTATCAGCAGGGACACCTTCTACTCTTTCCAATCTCAAGAACTAGCCCCTCTCTCCACAGGCCAGTAAAAGTCCCAATCTCATTGACCTCGCTTAGCTCGCATGCCCACCTGTGAGCCACTTATTACATAAGATGGTGTTTTCTGCTCTGATTGGCCAGCGCTGACCTGGTTCCACCCCTGGGGCAAAGTCAGCTGTTCTAGAACACAGTGTGCCTGAATGAGGGGAAGGCTCCCAGGGAAAATTGAGATGCTGTCACCATAAAAAAGGAGAAGGGATGCCAGGAAAGCAAAATCAAGAGATAGTCTGGCCCCAAAATATCTTTCCCCTCTTGCTCCCCCATAGTGCAGCCTAGGCCTCCCCACTCCCATCCCAGTGCCCTATCCCTGTTGCCCCTCTGCTTGCCTTGCAGGCCCGTGTTCGGAAGTTTGGCCCCAAACTGCTCCAACTACTGGCCGAGTGGACAGAGACCTTCCCGCGGGACTTCCAGGAGGAATCAACCATTGGGCATCTGAAGGATGTGGTGGGACGCATAGCCCCCTGTGATGAGGTGGGCAAGCCTGGGTGGAAGTCACTTTGCCTTCTCCGCACCCTCAAATCCAGGCCTGAACCTGTTTCCCGTGGCTTCCTAGGTCCCCTGATCTCCCAGCTTTGCACACTGCATGCTGTAAAACCAGCCCCTTTGTGACCCATCAAGGAATCAGGTACTGAGGGGCTATGAGCTAATCCAGGCCTCTGGTTCCAGGACTGGTTTCTTGACCTCTCTGTGCCCTGCTCTCATTGATGGCATCAGGTGGCCAAGAAGGGAAGACCTACTCATGGGTTCTTGTGGATGCATAGTCAGGCTGTTGGTCTGTGACCCACCAGGCCACCTGGCAGGGCCCATATCCTGGGCCTATGCCACAGAGGTCTCCCTCCTGCCTCTATGCTTAATCCATCTCAGGATGATGGGACCTGGCTTAGGATGTAGAACAGAAAAAGGTCAGGGAAGAGTTGCTGATTGGATGGATGGGAAAAGGAGAGAGTGGAAGCAGGGAAGAGGGATGCTGCCTAACTTGGTGGACAGTTAGGTGCTTTTATGGATGCATATAGGGGAGGATAGGTACTTGAGTAATTTGTATAGGCAGGTGGATTAATGGAGTGAATGAATGTGGAAAAATTGATGGAAGGAAGGGAGATGAAAAGGGGGGAAGGATATATGGGTAGGTGAATGGATAGATGGGTGGAAAGGTGAATGAAGGGGGTGAATGGGTAAACATAGAAAGGTAGGAGGAAGAATAGATTAGTAAATTGGTGAACCTGTGGGTAAATAACTGTAAAGGGGGAGGAGGGTGATAGCACATGAGTCAGGAAGAGATGGGTACAGGACTATGATAAGTGATGGTAAGTGGTGGATAGGTGGGTGGGTGGATGGGTAGATGGATGAGTGAGTGAGTGGGTGAAGTAGGAAGGATAGATGAGTAAACTGATGGACCCGTGGGTACAGTGGTAACTGTTTGAAAGGGAAGGTGGATGATAGCACATGGGTAGAGAAGGGATGGTGGGGAGATGGATGGAGCAGAGTAAGTGAGGTGGGAGCTCTATCTCCTGCTTCATCCCCACTCCCTCCAAGATTTCTTTGGCAGCAGTGAGATCTGAATCATATGATGAGACAGGGTTATTTGCCCTTATCTGACCTGCCTGACATTGGTGGAGCCTTGTCTCAGGTGCTGGGGGACAAGGCTGATTTTCCTTGGGAAGCCATGGCCTCTTCACCATTCTGAGAGTGTCAGGCCTATCCCCAAGGCTATGTGGTGTGGACCAGAATGGGAGTTCCCTGGTCTCTATCCCATACCCCCAGGCCTAAGCCAGGGATGCTTCCTTATGTCTTCACTGTCCCCAAGTCACTCTTCCACAGAAGGTATCCAATCTAAAGAGGATGTCCTCTCTGCACTGGTTCTCTATGCTGGATATTTACTGGTGGGCGGCAGGTTGTTCCCCTCCCAGCACCACACAGGCTAGGATGGGAAGAGCAATGAAGCAGACTGTGAGTCAGTCCCGTAGGGCTCAGAGCCAGGGGATTTAGATCATATTACTTGAGCCCAGATTCAGTCTCAGAAACCACAGCCGTGTGGCTTTGGGCAAGGTACTTTGCCTCTCTGAGCTTCAGTTTTCTCATCAGTAAACCACAGACATTCACCACTGCCACTATGCAACTTGGCAGCAAGGAGGTCTGAAGTTATTTCAGCACTTAGTAATTATGAGCTTCAATGAGAGGCAAATTGTTCCTCATATTCAGACATATGAGAATTATTCTTTAACTTCCATGAAACATTTCAAACATACCCAAGCATAAAGAAGAGTAACCATGAACTCCTCTGTACCCATCACTTATACTCAACAGTTATCAAAACTTTGACAAACTTGTTTCTTCTGTGCCCTCACACACTTCCACCTCTCTATAAATTAGTTGTAACCAAATCAAGATGATTATATCTTTTGCTCCAAAAACATTTGCTCATTATTGTTGTGTTTTGTTTTGTGTATATGTGCTGGAAATCCAACTCAGGGCCTCCAGGGATGCCAAACACACACTCTACCACTGAGCTCCACCCCTAGCCCTAGCATTGTGTTTATAAAAGATTTCTCACACAGGGAAAGAATTAAATGAAATAAAGTGCTATGCACAAGGTCATGAGATGAGCATGGGTATTTTCAGAGCTACATATCTTTGAGCAAATTACTTAACCTCTCTGAACCTTATGTTTCTTTCTATAAAAGGAAGAGTGATAATTCCTCCCTTGTGGGACTATGGGAACAAAGGGACCCAGGGTTGTAGAGGAGACAAAATGGTTGAGATGTCATAGAGGGTGAAACCAGAAAACGAAGAGACATGATGAATGGTGTAGCCACTCAGGAGACACTGGCTGTGCGTTGGAAACTGGAAGGAAATGTCAGGGCTCACAAGTGACTGTGTCACCAGGGCTGGCCATGCTGCATGTAACTTAACCATCTTCCCAGCACTCAATGAGAACCTACAAGGCACCATTTTATTACACTTTTGGTGCAGTGTTGCTGAGAGAGGCCATTCCTTTGGTGAGCAGGTTATTTCCCATATAACCAGTGGACACCTTCTGCGTCTGACCCCTGTAGCTCTAGGAGTTTGGGTTAGGCTTAGGATTAGAGTTAAGATTAGGATTAACTGCCAGGGGTAGAGGGTAGCAGTGAGGCTAGTCAGATTAAGTGGGCTCTTATCCTGTCCCCTGTATCCTGAGGCTTTGCCATAGCCACCCATGGCTGCTTCACAGAGAAGTAGTTCCACGGACCAGAGAGAACAGCCTCACCATCACCACAGCACTGGGCACCAACAAACCTCAGACATCAGCAGCACTCATTAAACCCTAAGAGACTGCAAGGAACTGTTGAGGCCCAAAGCCACTCACAGCCCAGTAAGTCAGACACTGCGTCTACAAAATGTCACTGGGTTTGTGCATTTCAAAATAGCATGAAGAAAAATTCACCTTTACTTTCTTAAATTACCTGACTATACCAACTATTCACTAGCCTATTGTTTTCTGAGACTTCTGGTCCCGGTTTGTCTAGTTGATGTTTCATCATTGCTGGGAGGCCATGAACTCGGCTCTCTTCTGCTAGCACCCAAATCCTGGGTTCATAGGGAATTGCATGTTTCTCTAGGAGTGACATTTCCTACAGGCTCATGAGCTCAGGGGCCTGTTCTATGGGTTATTGATCCAAACCCTTGGGGATATATGGATATTTCTCTTCCAGCCCAGGCTATTGGTATCTTTCTTTAGAAATAGAGGTCTCTGAAGGGAAAAATTGATCACTTTCTCCTTGGGTGTAGAAGGGTAGGTTCCCCTTGGCCTACCCTGGAAGAAGGGCCATGGCATGGTCCAGAGCAGGAATCCATCTGTCTGAGCTGAATGGTGAAGGGACTCTGTTGGTAGGTTATAGAGCACTCACTGCATTCACAGAACTGGGACAGACTCTGATAACACAGAGAAGACAACACAGAATTCCCTGCCTCTCTGGAACTGCCATTCTGGGGTTGTGGGGGAAGTGGGTAATAAACAAACCTGATTATCCCTGATAGTGATCCTATAAAAGAAGTCACATAGAGCGTTACAGAATACTGCCAGGGTAGAGGGCAACAGTGAGGCTGGTCAGGAAGTTCTCTCTGAGCTGGGCTTAAGATTTAGAAGGGGTCACCCTTAAAGCCAAGACAAAGGACAGTTATCCAGGGCAGGATCTGTTCCATGTCTTCCTTCCTCTCTTCCTTCCTTCCTCCAGCTCCTGGCAGCACACACCCCACTCTGCCCAGCTGCCCAGATAGGGTGCTTTGAGCCCCACTGGCCTCCCTGATATGTGCTCTTCTCAGTTCCCACCAGTAATCCTGGAGCTTTCTCCCTAACTGGCCTTCACTTGACCCCAGCTCCCACATGCCTGGGTTTGATCCTATTTTAGGTTGGGGGCAGGTCCCAGCACATTTGCTGGTATCTGGCCTTTTCTGTAGAGCCCTGATGGACCCTGTCCACCTCAAAGGTAAAGATGGGTATTCAGACCCGAGTACCCCTTCTTACCTCCCCCCCCCCATGCCCCACCAGGCCTACCGGAAGAGGATGCATCAGCTCCTGCAGGCCCTACACCAGAAGCTTGCAGCTTTGGGCCAGGGATCTGAAGGCTTCATGGGTGCTGACAAGCCCATCTCCTACAGAACCAAGCCACCAGCCTCCATCCATAGGGAGCTCCTTGGCATCTGTAGCGATCCCTACACACTGGCCCAGCAGCTGACCCACGTGGAGCTGGTAAGCAGGCAATGCTGCTCTTTCCCCAGGGCAGGAAACAACTGGGAATCCTACCCAATTGATGGGCCACCACTCGCCCCTCTGCCCTCCCTACTTGGTCTCAGGATAACCCTGGGTCAGGCCCTTCACAGCACAGGCAGTCAGCATCTGAGACTATCCTGGAGCAGTCAGTTTCCCAACACTCCTGGGGCCCAGAACAGGAAGGCTGGAGGTGTCAGCCTCTGGCCTGAGGATTTAGCTCTAGAATGAAAGAACTGGGTTCACATTTCAGCTCTGATACCACCTGTTGGGTGATCCTTCCAGAACTAGTGACTTCCCCATCCAGGGCTCACAGAGACTCATTGCTCCCTATTCAGCTTTCCAGAGCAGCTCCACAAGCTTTTTACCTACTGGTAAAGGGAATGCCTAGCCCAGCCAAAGAAAGAGGAACAAGGGGAGTGGGTTTCTTCCTTTCTACACCTCCACCATTATGGCACTCTGTACTCGCCATAGTGCTTACATGCACTTCCCATTGCCCTGCAGGGTTGAGAAACGTTACATGATTTGCCAGAGTTCACAAGCAAAAGGCACAGAGCCAGGGTTTAGTTCTGACCCAGATACTATGCCTGGCCACCAGGTCTCCCTCCCTCCCTCCCTTCCCCACCCAAAGAGCTGGTCATTTCAATAACCTGATTTTGAGTCTGGTACATTGCTTCCTTCACCCACTCCTCCATGAACTGGGAAAGGAGGGGATCTCTCCTTCAGGGATGGTGTTGAACTCTGTGACAACCCAAAACAGGATCTGTAAGCCCCCATGTGAAGGGTGACTGCAAACAGATCCTCATGGTGGGGGGGCGGGGGGGAAGAAGGTCAGGGAGTCAGGCAGGAGCACCCACCCTACCACATCCCCAGCAAGCCCTTCTTCCCCAAATCTTCCGTTTTTCCGACCCTTCTCCCTTCTGATGCAGGAACGACTGCGACACATCGGACCTGAGGAGTTTGTCCAGGCTTTTGTGAACAAGGACCCTCTGGCCAGTACAAAGGTAGAAAGAAAGCTCTTGGACAAGCTGTCCCAGCAATGACCCTCCTCGCCCCCATCGTGTGGCGGCCACGGTAGGGGCGAACCCAGAGAGGGATGGAGGGGCTTTGGAGGAGTCCTACCCACTCACTCACGCACCTCCAGCTGAGACCTCGATAGTCCCGAGTCTTGGGGAAGCCTAGAAGGCTAGACGTGCCCTGGGTGGGGAGAAGGGAGGATCGCGGAGGGAGCCCCGGCGCGCTCCAGAACCGCGCGGACCCTCGCTGTGCGTTTCGATGGGCGCTGATGCCCTCCAGCGGCCAGTCGGGGAAGCGCGGGTGGTAGGTGCTGCGGGAAAAGGAAGGCGTTCAGGACACCGTCCCCCACACCTGGATTTTGAGCCAGTCCTTCCCTTCTAGGAGCTCAATCAGAGGGTCCCTGGTGCTTAACAACTGGCTAAATCCGAACCAAAACTGAAAACATTCTGTCTTGTACTCTCACACCTAATAAAAGAAGTACAAACTAAATACTGTAGTACGTGATTGCATTTTCACCCTTCAGATAAGCAAAGATCACATAGTAGGATAGACATATTGGGGATATGTAGGAAAGCGGCATTCTCCTACACCATTGGTAGCAGATGAAATTGTCGCAAGGCTTTAGAGAGCAAATAAGCAATCGTAGATCAACAATTTAAACGTCCTTCTTGCCGGGCGGGCGCAGTGGCGCACGCCTGTAATCCCAGCAGCTCAGGAGGCTAAGGAGGGAGGATCCCGCATTCAAAGCCAGCCTCAGCAACTTAGTGAGGCCCTAAGCAACTCAGTGAGACCCTGTCTTTAAAGAAAATATAAAATTATAAGAGGGCTGGGATGTGGCTCAGTGGTTAAGTGCCCCTGGGTTCAATACCTGGTACAAAAAAAAAAAAAAATGTCCTTCCTTTGGCTGGGGATGTAGCTGAGTTGTAGAACACTTGCCTAGCACACATGAAACCCTGGGTTAGATCCCCAGCACCAAATAAGTAAGTGTACATCTTCCGTCCAACTTTCCACAGCTAGTAATTTATCTACACATTCATGTAACACAAAGATGAACATATACAAAGGTATTTGGGGTACATAGTATTTGTCATGGTCAAAGACTGGAAGCAAATAATTACCTTATCACCCGTGAACACTGACTTAAAAAGTATAGTACATCCATCAGTAGAATGCTTTCAAGTATGAAAAAAAAATAAGGCTGCCCACAAGTATGCAGTCATCAAGATCCATCTATCCAATCACCAAGAGAAAGGGGTAGAGTGACAAACAGGGCATGTGACCATTTGTGTAACAATAAAAAAAGAAGGCTTTGTGATACATCAAAGCTTACACGTGTGCAGAAATGACCTCTAAAATGGGGAGGACAACCATGGGACCATGGGACTGAGGGCATAGGAACAGGAAGGAGACTTGGCTACTTTTTGAGCGTGTGTGTGTGTGTGTGTGTGTGTGTGTGTGTGTGTGTGTGTATTGCTGTGAGCATTCTTACATGTGTTTCCCTGGATACACCAGTGAACATTTTCTCTGGGGCACCACTTCTCTCATGTTTTGGGGTCAGGATCCCTTTATATTCTTAAAAATTATTGAAGACCCCAAAGAACTTTTGGTTAATTGATTACTTCTATCACTATCATATTAGCAATTAAAACTGATTACTTTTTCTTTCTTCTTCTTCTTCTTTTTTTTTTTTTTTTTTTGTAGTGCTGGTGATCAAACCCAGGACCTTGTACATGATAGTCATGTGCTCTACTACTGAGCCAGACTCCCAATCCCAAAACTGATTTCCTTTTAAAATATTTACTCACAAATACAATAACCCATTGCATGGTGACATAAGTAACATATTTTATTTTTAAAAAATGCATTTTCTGCAATAGAAAATTCCTGAAAAGTGATGTTGTTTTATAAAATTTTTACAAATCTCTGTAATGTCTGACTTCATAGAAGACAGCCGATTTCTTTCATCTGCTTCTGTGTTCAGTCTCTTGACATATACTATTTGGTTTAAGGAAATATAATCTCACACAGATATGCAGTTGGAAAATTGAGGAGTATTTGACAGCCTTTTCAGATAATTGTGAATATTCTTGTTAGATACTGCACTAAAACTCAGCCAGTAATAGTTTTTAAAGATTAATTATAATGTGACATCTGAAAATATTATCAATGATCTTTCTTAATGCTATGACATCCATTACACCTTGCATCTTGAGGGTATGATTTTATAACATCATACATTGATCATTTAGAATATGAGGAAACATTGAGTTAGGCAGATCTTCCAAATGTTGGCACATTTTATTGTATAGTACTTTAAAATCACATTCATTAATATCAAGAGAAAAGGGTAGAGTGATGAACAAGGTATGTATACACTCCTGATCTCATAATTTTAAAAAATGTCTGGAACTGGGGTGTAGCTTAGTGGTAGAATGTATGCTGAGCATGCGCGAGGTCCTGGGCTTGATCCCCAGCACCACCACCAAAAAAAAAAAAAAAAAAAAAAGTGTTGTTTAAAATGTGTCTTTAAAAAAAAAAAAGAGTATGTAAATATTGAGAAGCTGTCAAGCCACAGAAGCAGATACATGTTTTACAAGTTCCCAATTTTCTCTTGAAATCTTGAATTCTATCACTGGCAACAAATACTGGGATCTGTTTTCCTTGAAGTGACAGGTTCATTTTGTTCATTTTTAAGAAAATATCAGCCAAATACTGAAATCTGGAGAATGAGAGTTTGTCTCATAGAGTTCGTCTGTTAGTCTTTTTTTTTTTTTTTTTTTTTTTAAGTAAAAACAGAATTCAGTGGAAACAATGGCCAATTCAGTGCATGGGTGAGCCAAGTCCTGCCCTCAAGACAACCCCACACTTGAGTATACTTCGAAAGTGCTCTGTTCTGATGCCCCATTTTGTCACACTGAATAAGAAACATGTACTCACGGGCTGAGATTGAATAGAACTTGAAAGTGTTGCCTCTTTAAGGACATCCATAAGTCACACTCCCCCCCCTTTTGCTGGGCAATTTTTCCCACCATTGCTTTTGCACCATCAGGGCAGACCTCAACACAGTGGGGAAAAGAATATGATCAAATTATTATGAAAATACTTTTCCCCAGAAAGTATACCAGAGACCCCGAGAAGTCTGTTGACAACACATTCAGGACTATTGCTCTTCCACATACCTAGGGAGGAGAATTACTATGTCACAGGGTAGGCACGTGGGCAGCCTTTCCAGGTAATGCCAGGTGAGGTATCCACTTACCTCCCAGTAGGGAGGTATTCTTGTTCCACATCTTCAGTCACTTGAAATTGTCAGACTTTTAAGTTTGGAAAATTGAGTATCTTTTCACCTGTTCTGGCCATTTACGTTTCCTCCTTTTGTGATATACCCCATCTCTGACTTTTAGCCTGTTTTCTACTGGTGAATTTTCTTAAAAATTTTAAGGAATTTTTTGGTTTTTGGTTTTACTTGAAATATGTCCTAGATACTAAACCTTTTATTTTTCTAGTTGTTTTCTTCGCTTCTCATTCTCATTACCATGGCTTTTAATGAACAAGCATTCTTAAGCTCCACCTAAATTTACTAAACTTTTCCTTCAGGATCCTCTGATCTGTGTCAGTACACGTTGTCTTCTTCACTATAGCGTGACGATGAGTCTTCATGTCCAGTAAAGCAAATTCCCCAGGTTCTTCTTGAGGAATGGCGTGGCTATTTTGGGCCTATTGCCTTTCCATTTAAATTTTAGAATCATCTGTCAAATTATATGAAAAGTCCTACCAAGATTTTGTTAGACTATATTAAATATGGATCAATTTGAGAAGAATTGACAGATTTATGTTATTGACTCTTTCAATCCATAAAAATAGTATGTACTTCTATTTCCTTAGGTTTATTATATATCTTTCAAATGGCTTAAAATTTTCTCCATAAAAGTGTTACACAGGTTTTGTTACACTTTTGCCCTAGGTACCTTATGTATACTTTTACTACTGCATATGAAAAAAACCGATTTTCACAGATTATTTTAAAATGTGATTTTATATTTCTGGATGTTCAAAAAGAGTGCATATTCTCAAATAAATAAGCACAGGCTTCCATAATTACACATTATCTCAACTATGTAGTAATTGTATTTTCTTTTTAATTGATTTTATTATTTTTTAATACACAACAACAGTGGAATGTATTGCAATCCTTATTACACATATAGAGCACAATTTTTCATATCTCTGTACATAAAGTATGTTCACATCAATTAATGCCATTATACATAAACTTTTTTTTGCATTACAATTCTTAATACACATATATACCACAATTTTTCATATCTAGTAATTGTATTTTCTATCTGCTCGTTTTGGGTATAAGAAATTAATTTGCTTTTTTAAATATGTTTTTTAGTTACTGATAGACCTTTATTTTAATCATCTATATGCATTGCTGAGAATCAAACCCAGTGCCTCACACATGCCAGGCAAGTATGCTATCACTAAGCCACAACTCCAGCCCCAAAATTAATTTACTCTTATGTATCAATTTTATATCTGACAATATTATAAAACTTTACTAATTATATTAATGTGTCACCATTCTTTGGAGGATTTCTTGTAGGCAGGCACATCATCTGCAAATAATTAAGTTTTGTTTCTTCCTTTCAAAGGTTTATTCTTTTTATTTCCATAGTAGTCATAGAATAGAACTGACTTGAGGACTGGGGTTGTGGCTCAGTGGTAGAGTGCTTGCCTAGCATGTGCGAGTCCCTGGGTTCCATCCTCAGCACCATATAAAAATAAGTAAAAATGAAGTATTGTGTTCAACTACAACTAAAAAATAAATATTAAAAAAACTGAATTGATATGGACAGGAAAGGTAGATAGACTTTACTGCATCATTTTAAGTCTCTGAAATATTGAGAGTGTAAGTTGTTGCAGAATAACTCTGCCTGATCCAATAGAATTTGCTTTTCTTGCTTATTGTGCTAACCTGCACTTCTGGTACAAGGTCAAATAGAAGTGTTGATGGTTGACATCCTTCTTTTGTCCTGACTTTAATAGGAATGCTTTTAACCAGTCACAAAAGAGCATGATGTTTGTTATTGGATTTTTTTTTTTTAGATCTATGTTATCAGTTTAAGGAAGTACCCTGTTCCTTCCTAGTTTACTTAGAGTTCTTATATGAAGGTTATTGAATTTCATCAAATTCTTTTTCTGGACCCTACTACTCTTATGTTCTCTTCTCCTTTAAACTTTTAAGTGATTATTCATATTAGTTTTTTTAATTAACGTTGAATCAACCTTGCATTTCTAATATACAAAAAACTGGATAAATGAAGCCATTATTTTTTTTTTCAAACATGGCTAGATTGGGTGTACTAATGTTTTGGTTAGGATTTCTGCAATTGTATTCATGAGTGAAATTAATCTGTTATTTCCCTTTCTGACATTATTCTTGACTACTCTGTTTCTCTTTCCTTATTCTCTATTCTATATGAAATATTGGGGTACCTGTTCTTGGAGCATTTATAGAATTTGCCACTGAGCCTCATTTGTTATTTGAGGTTTTATTCACTGATCCAAGGTTTTTCTTGTTTCTATGTTTATTCTATTGTTTTAGTGGTTGTAGGACTGCTTATATTTTTATATCTCATAAGTCCATTTTATAATTTATATTCTTTCGAGAATTTGCCCATTTCCCCTAAGCTTTCACACTTATAGACATAAAGTTATACATAGAGAAATAAAAAGCTTTTGACTGTTGTTTCTGAATATTGCAGCTTTCTTTTACTATTGCATTTATTTCTTCTCCAATCTTTACCATTTTCTTCCATTGACTTTCTTTAGATTTATTCTGTGGTTCTTTTTCTGATTTCTAATGTAGGATTTCAGCTTATTTTTATCCTTTCTTCTATTCTAGTGAAAGCATAAAAGACTATTCATTTCTCTTTATATACATTTTTATTTACAGTTTCCAAGTTTTCTTTTTTAGTACTTTTATTACCATTCTAATTTATTATAATTTCATCCCAGACCCATAATTATTTTTAAACGTGTTCTTAGATTTCCAAATGTCTGAAAATAATGCATATTATCAAATAATTGAATTCAAGCTTCCATATTTGTTTCTTACCTCAACTATATAAATTGTGTTGTTCAAATTTATATTCATACTGTTTTTTTTATTTTCCGGTCTTCCTAACCTATTAATTTCTGGCATGTTTATTAAGCTCTTTGATTGTAACAATAGAACTTAACTTCTCCTAATAAGGAATGTCACCTTTCTGATTACTTTGCCTCCGTATTTTGACCCTATTTTACCCAGAGTTTAGACTTCTGACATATCCCTGATGAATTGAAACTTTATCGTTGTGGAGTTAGTCTTTCATCTCTTCTAATGCTTTTGGCCGTAGATTCCTTTTTGCTTTAAAATCTCTTTTGTCAGACATTAATGAAGATGCTGCTTAGCTTGAGTTGGAGTTACATTCTAATAAACCTATTATAAAGTAGAGAAAATGTAAGTCAAAACATCAAAAGTTGGAAACCATCTAAATAGCTATGTGATATTTATCACACACATATTTTTCTATTATTTTACCCTTGACTTTTTATCTTGAAATTGACAAGAAACTGGAATTTTTAAAAATTAAACGACTATTAATCCATAAGGATTTGCTCTTACTGCCTTCTGTTACACTATTTATTTGTCTCCTTTATATTTTCTATTTCTTTCTCCTTTCTTTACATCTTTTGGATTAATAGATTTTATAGATGCGCGTTTAAGGAAGTACCCTTTCCTTCCTAGTTTGCTTTGAGTTCTTATATGAACTTTAATCCATTTAATCCCCCCCTCTGTTTATTGAAAGTTATCCTGGCAGTTTTAGCATACACATTTAAGTTTAATCTGTTAAGCTCGGTTATATGTATACATGAATGTTCTACACCAATTTTATTTTTCTACACAAATTTTAAAATTATGTCTTCAAAGGATATTTTTTGACCCAGGAAAAGATTAATGTGGAAACATATATGTATAATTATAGATACATGCATATATTCCCATGGAGAGTTGATTCTCCTTATTTGCAGTAGCTGTGTTCTATAATATCATCTCAAACATTGAATCAGCAAATACTGAACGCTTACTTTTAGGGAAAATACAGGGTTACATTCCTGCGAGATTCTTATCACATTTTGTCAACTTATCAATGTATATAACCCTGTTTTACATGTTTAAAGACACCTTATTTCATATATATAAATATATATCATTGATTAACATTGAACTCATGACCAATAGTACAATATGATTCATGAATATTATCAAATAATTTAATTCAAGCTTCCATATTTGTTCTTTACCTCAACTATATAAATATATTTCCTGTGTAGTAAGGCACTTCAGCACTATGCTTGGGAACTTTATTAAACATTTAAATAATTCCCCCCACAAAAAAAGCACAAAATTTGTGGGGGAAGACTCTAAATAGTCTAAATAGGAAACAGGATACTTACAGTGTGAGGGCTGAAATAAGAAGGCAGAGTGTCCTTCAGTTCAGCCTCAACTGGAAACACTTATGAGTGATGAGTGACAAATATTTTGGCTCCTCTGCACATACGCATAAATGACCATGAAAACCACACAAGCTATTGGGATTACAAATAAAATTCAGGAAGTAGGCAAATTTGCAAGTATAAAATCCATGAACAATGAAGATCAAGTGTGTCTGTGTATATGGGTATGCACACACACATAATTTTGAAATACACCCTTAAATATATAGAAAAGAGATTGGAAAGCTACATACCAAATCATTGGTGTTTCCAGATGGTTTTGAGATTTTCACATTGTCCAAATTGTCTATAACCATGAACTGACTTCATGTTCTAATAAGTTACTGGCAGAGACTCAGCATGGGGTCCTGTGTGTCTCTTCTAGCCCTGTTTCAATGACAAGACTAACAACCTGGAGGCTTATGTGAAATGGTTCAACAGGCTGTGCTACCTTGTGGCAACTGAGATCTGCATGGTGAGTAGAAAGCCAGGGTGGGCATGACCTGGTATAGGCAAAAGTGGCCTGGGACCTGGAGGAGCCTATCAGGGAGGGAACTAGAAGGGCATCTTAAATCCCAATAGTCTCCTGGCAGTTACATCTTGACTGAGTCCACCTGAGGATTGGCTAGGCACCAAGTGTCACCAAGCTTTCTTGCAGTGACATTTCCCTCAGGGTAGAACCCAGGATGGACCCACTGAGCTCTGTCACCAAGGAAATCAGAATGTTTGCTCAAGGAGTGAGGAGTAGTCACAACTATGCCCAAGGGGCTCTACTGCCTCCATCCATGCCTGTCTGTCTGCCCCAGGCAGCCTGGCCTGCAGTGAGGTTTGATTTGGCTTGCTCAGGATTGAGAAGTTATCAGATTCTGAAGAAATAGGAGAGTACATATAAAAAGTCCAGGTCATTGGCTTCCCCTGGAAAGCAAGGAATCTTGACAACATGGAGCTGGACATGCTTGTCACTGAGTTGAGGGTCCACCTGGCCATGCCTGCCCATCCTCTTTCTTATAGCAGAGGAATCATCCTCTGGACCCACACCTGAGGCCCCTGTTTGTCTCAAGAACAGATTGGACAGACTCAGTCTCTAAGGCCAGCTGGGCTCACTGGAAGCAGGTGCTCAGAGAGCTTGGGGAACAGATGTGAATGAGTACAGGGGAGTCAGGATACACTGAGGGAGAAGCTGATCTGCAATGCCCACATAGACTGAGGTGGTTTTATCCCCCACCTGGTTTGAGATCAGTGTTACCCATGAGGGTTGCCCTTTTGAAGGATAGGATCAATGATAGGTGGCTCTCCAAAGCCAACATCACATCTTAAAGGGGGCTTGTAGCATGTCCCCACAGGGGCCAGAGCAAACTTCTTGGTGGCAATAGATAATTGCTGCATGTTTCATAGGCAAGTAAAGTCTACTTGTGGAAAAAAAAATACAATATAGGGTACCACTGACCCAGCCCTCTTCCTACAGTCACACCATTGGTCTGGCAGTTAAAATGGGATTTTACCTTTGTGAAGCCTGGACTAAGCCCACATGGTCACCCAGGAGCCTACCCAGGATAGTACAGGATGGCTCAGGGGAAGGACACAGTTGGTTTCTGAGCCATACAGTGGAGGGGCTCAGGGGACAGGGCCTCAGGATCTGCATGTGGCCCCTAGTGAGGGGAGAGCAAGCTCAGTACCGGGAGGAAAGGGAAGGGGCAATGCGTTCTGATTTGAGAAAAGAACAGGTGCTAGAGGTAGAACAGGTCCTAGCAGGAAGAGTGATCAAGCTGCTCCCAGAGGTGCCTCACAGCCCATCCTGTGCTGCAAGTCACTCCTGTACCCCGACAGGAGCTCTAGCAGGGCTCAGCTGTCTCCCTGGCAGTGGACTATGTCCTGCTCTGCCTGGGCCTCAGCTGTGAAATAGATTTGAAGAAGGTGAAGAGGGCAGGGCAGGTGAGCAGGGTGTCTGATTAGGGCAGGGTAGAAACATATCACTAAGGCTCTGGTGCCCTGTCCCCAGCCAGCCAAGAAGAAGCAGAGGGCCCAGGTGATCGAGTTCTTCATTGACGTGGCCCGAGAGTGCTTCAACATTGGCAACTTCAACTCCCTGATGGCCATTATATGTGAGTGGGTTGCTCCAGGAGCCCCCCCCCCAATGGGAGGATCCTCAAAGAGGTTCAAGTCGGCACAGCCAGGCAGGTGGGGTCAAGCCCAGACCCTCTTCTGAGCAGCAGGTGGGTGTGGGCTTAGCAGTTTGCAGCCTAAGGCAGCCAGCAATCCCATGTCCCTGCCCCCAAAGGCCTGGAGAAAGCACCTCTTTTGAGGCAAACTCAGCCTCCTTAGGGTGCTTGGTGAGGGCTTGGCAACATATCCCCAGATCCAAAGAGAATGAGAAGGAACTAATTCCAGGATGGGGCCTGAATGTGGGAACATGGTCAGAGTTTACACACTCACAAGCTGGACCCTCATTGTCCATTGCTACATGCCCATTGTCTCCCAAGCTGAGGCCACTGCAGACCTTAGCCGTACTTAGGACTCAGCCTAAATGGCTGGGCAACTGCAGCTATACACTGACCTCCCTGCTCATGAGCGTGAGGGGGACTGTCCAGGCCAGAGAAGCCCTCCCCAGCCCACCCCTCCCTCTTCCAGCTGGCATGAACATGAGCCCTGTCTCCAGACTGAAGAAGACTTGGGCCAAAGTGAAGACAGCCAAGTTTTTCATCCTGGAGGTAAACAAGGTTGCTGGGCTAAGGGGTTCAGCCAGCGGGCCCATGAAAAGAGGTGCCCAAATGCCTCCCTGTCTTCTTCCAGCACCAGATGGACCCAACYGGGAATTTCTGCAACTACAGGACAGCCTTGCGAGGGGCAGCCCACCGCTCCCTGACTGCCCACAGCAGCCGGGAGAAGGTAGGTGAGAAGCCTTGATGGTCAAAGTCCAGGTGTGCTGTATCAATGGGTTAGTCAGCTTTCTGTTACTATAACAAATAGCTAAGATAATCAACTTATAAAGAGAAAAGATTTATTTTGGCTCAGTTGTAGAGGTTTCCTTCTATGATAAGTTAGCCTATGATAAGTTTTGAGTCTATGGCAGTGGTGAAGGAAATCCACTCATCTCATGGCCAGGGGCCAAAGAGAGAAGACGAAGAGGGTATAGCTTCACAGTCTCCTTCAAGGTCATGTCTCAGTGACCTAAAGACCTCCAGCCAGGCCCCACTCCCCACTACCACCTCCTCCCCCAGGGGTAAGCCTTTACCACATGGACATTTGGGGGACCGTTGTGATCCAAACTACAGCAATCAGGGAATCTGGAGGTTGACTCAAAGATCACTGGGTCCAACCCCTGCCCTTCAGCAGCATCTGTGATAGATAGCCATGTCACCTTGCTTGCATGCTGTCAGTGTGGCCAACTTCGCCACCTCCAAAACAGGTCATGCCCCACCCCCAAGAAGCTCTGATGCCTTGAACTTCCTTGATAAGTGCTTCCTTGTGGGGCCAGACTTGGCCACCTCAGATCACATTCTCTTAAAGGGAACTACTTCCTCTTCTAGCTACCAGTCCTTTCACGGCCTGCGTGTCCCCACCATTGTTTGCCTGAATGGACAGTCCCAAGCCTAACTTGCGATTCCAGTCCCCTCCCGGCTATGACCCTGAAGAGCTCCATCTCTCAGAGTCCCTTCTGTTTCAGATCAAATTGTAGCTCCAAGCACAGAGGGTTTTACATCTGCGTTATTCTAAATGTAGTACCTCTATGTATGTGGCCTTAAATCACATTTTTGGATTTGGCAATGACTATCCAAGCTTCTTGTTCACCCAAACTGCCTTTTCACAAGAAATGTCATATACATTTGCATTTGGGAGGGCCTTTGATGATCCTGATCAATTTTATTTCTCCTCTAAATTCTCCGATTGGCCTCTGATACAGGATTCTGTACTGAGGTCCTAGGATTGCAACAATCATCTGGCTTAAAACTTGTCATCAAGTTTTAAGGAAGGAAACACCAAGACTTGTACCTTTCAAATCTGGTCTCCTGCAGGAACGTTGGTGGAATCAGGTCCCTACTGTGGTTGGTGGAGGTCTTATCTCCATCCTGAGAGATAATTAAGGGGAAAAAATGCTAGATGAAATTCTACATCACTCTGGAATTGTACTGGATGGATACCAGTGGTCAAGTTTATGAAGCAGGCTGAAAGATATGTGCTTGTGCCACCCACCAGGACTTCCTGACCATCCACCCAGTGAGTCTTACAGCAGGGGTCACATGAGCAGACACTGACAACCCTGATGGCCATATGCTACCCAGCTGGTCCTTCTAGTACAGGCTGTGAGTTCTTCAGTGAATGAGTCCCAGGAGGGCTGATGGAATGCGGTGGAGCAGTGAGTGAGGCAAGACCTCCAACTCCAGGGCAAAGGAGCCTGTCTCCTAGAAGCCAGAAATCCAGGAAGTTGGAATAGCAAGGGCAAAAATTTAACTTCACTGAGCACCTACCATCTGCAGGCCACTTGATCTCTATCCCCTCCTCCATTCTATGGGATGGCTTCAGCATTGCCATTTCCCAGATTGGAAGACCGAGTCTCAAGGAGACCTCACTGTCCTATCAAATTGTGAGCTAAGCCAGAAATCAAACTCCAACCTCTCTGACTCTGAATCTCATGGTCTTTGCATATCATTGTCTGTCTCCCTGTTCCCAGGACAAAGTGACCATATGTGACAGTCACAAGGTTCCTGGCTTACAGCCCAGGAGTTGGACCCTGAGGCAAAGGTATATCACATTGGATTTTGAGCTGTGGCTGCAGCCTCTAGTTTGCAGCACTGGCTGTCACCACTATTTTTCTTCCATCCATGCTGAGGCAGGATAGCCATGGAGCAGGGCAGACTTTATGTTCCTAAACTCTGGGGTGCTGGGATACTGTGCATTTAGGTCTTGTGCTATAGGTGGATGACTTTAAAATGTGCATTTAGTTTTAACTGCATTCTCCTCTATCTTCCAGAGAGACCATAGGCTAGGCCCAAAGAAGAAGACTTTCTATGGGCTCTCCCTTCAGAAAACAGAGCAATAATGCTCTGCTCTTGGTCTCATCATAAGTGCATCAGGATGGATCTTTAGCATCAAGAAAGACAGGATGACAAATTACTAAATACTCTTTAGAAAAGAAAACAGGTCACAAAATTTTAGAATATTTGACTTATATATGGTTCAGGAATGTTTAATAGTGTGCTTAGCATGGGCCTCTGCTCCCAGTACACTTGAGAGAGAGGCCTGAGTCTGTAGCCTTCCAGATGGGGATGTTGTGAGGTTTCTACCAGCCCCTCCCAGCAGGTAATAGAAAAAAACATCCAAGGGTCACTGTGACTCTGCATCTTGCACCTAGCCCAACGCAGGGTAAATGGCACTGCATGCAGTGGGAGCTCCATCAGCACTGGTGCCTAATGGGCCTGGGAGGAAACGTAATCTGGCCCAGAGTTATGGGGCCTGTACGTCCTTTCTTAGTGGTTTTCATGTTGTCCCCATGATGCATATTAGTTAAAATTATCCTTTGTTATGATTTGGATCTTAAAAGTCTTCCAAAGGCTCTGTATGCTAAAGGCTTGGTCACTTGGTCACCAGCCATGGTGCTACTGGGAGATGGTGGGACCTTTAGAAATTGGGACCTAGTAGGAGAAAGCAGATCATTGGGGGTGTGCCCTTGAAGGAAATATTGGACCCCCAGCCCATCCTTTCTTTTGCTCCACCATGTAGCCCCACCATGGTGTTCTGCCTCACCACAAGCCCCAAAACAACCGAGCCAGCTGATCATTGGTTGCAACCTCTGAAACCATAAGCCAAAATAAACCTTTTCTTCTTTTAAGTCATTTATCTCAGGCATTTTATCACAGTAATGGAAAAGTAAGTAATAGTCTTATATAATTCATGAAGCCCCGAGGCTGGTTGGGCTTGCCCAGGAAGTCTCTCCTGTCATCRGCATTCAGGGGTGCATCTGAGGTCCCTGGGGCATGTGTCTACTGGCAAGGTTGCCACCTGCCCTTGAGCCAACCCTATGGGGAGGCTGCCTGGGAGCTGACCCAAACCCTCTCCCTTCCAGATCGTCATTCCCTTCTTCAGCCTACTCATCAAAGACATCTATTTCCTGAACGAGGGATGTGCCAACCGCCTTCCCAATGGACATGTCAACTTTGAGGTAGGACTCAGGGACCTTGGAAGGGAATGCAACCAAGTGAGATCAGCCACTAAAAGTGCCCCCCAAAAAGCCTGCTGGACCCTCAATCATCAAACTAATGGGGGCCTTGAGGCAGACAGAGTATAGTAGTTCTCAGGATCTCCCCACCCCCACATCCACCAGAGGGGGATTCTGAAGCCCATGCACATGAGGATAATGCACTCTGTGCCGGGGCTTATGCCCAGCATGGGTGAAGCCGAATCATTTTTGCCCCTTAAGGAGCACAAGGGCAATAAGAAAAATGGCCCCATAGGCCCATGGTGACAACTGTAAGGTGCTGTGACAGGGCTACACAAACACACAAAAACATCTCACACACACGTGTGTCAGAGTGACTGGTGGGCTAGAGTACACTGGGCAGTAGCAGCAGGAGGTCACTGAGTCAGACTGACAGAACATACCATGTGGTAGTGTTACCACCCACTCTGCAGGAAGAAAGGGACTCTTCTTCTCAAGAGCCAACCTACCCTAGTGCTAGCCCCAGCAGGGATACAGATGGATGCAAAAGCCCTCAGCCTCCAACTCCCCAAGGGGCAGTAAGTCCTGGGCCAGTCACTTGCTTTTTATGAGCCTCAGTCTCTCCCTCTGTAAAATGGGGCATCAACCACAACTATGGCTACACAGAGAGGCTAGGAAGAGGAGATGTACAGCATGAGCCACCAAAGGCTCTGAGTGTCCCCTGCTGATGAGCACCAGAGCACATGCCTGGGCCCTTCCGCCTGGAGCTGCCCTCTGCAGACACCCCTGCAGACCATCACCTGCTGCCGATAGCCTGCTCACCCCTGAGGCCAGCAGAGCTTGGGGAAAATCCAGTCCAATCTGGCAGATTGTCCAGTCCTAGCTGCTGCACCCCTGGGGATCAGCCCAGGCTGGAGGCCACATGGATGAGATTACAGGGGCCCAGGCAGCCTAGAGTGAGATTTTATTCCACAGGTGACCCTGACACACAAACCAGTGTGGGATCTCCTATTTTTTGCCCTTCTTGAATTGGTCCTCAAAACCAAGGCAAGGGGTTGGGGTAAAATTGCAAATCATGTGGCCACAGATTCGGAAAGCAGGTACTAGGAACCAGACATGGCTGCCAGGGCTGATCAAGGGGTACCACAGAGCTGGGATCCCCACCCAAGCATGTCTTTGTGCTGCTATTTATTTAACATCCTTCTTAAAGTTGGCATAGTTTTTAAAATTAGATACACATTACAATAAGGCTTCCATATCCATGAATTCTGCATCCACAATCCTACCAACTGTGGATAAAAAAATATATTTTTTTAAAATTGCATCTGTACTGAACATTTATAGACTTTTTTCTTGTCATTATCCTTTAAGCAATACAGTGCACTATTTGCATAGCATCTACACTGTATTAAGTATTATAAGTAATCTAGAGATGATTTAAAGTTTAAGAGAGGACATATGTAGGTTCTACGTAAATCCTGTGTCCTTGAGCATCTGCAGATTTTGGTATTCCCAGGGCAGGATAAGTCCTAAACCAATCCCCCCAGGACACCGAGAGACTACTATATTTAAATTTTACTTAAATAAAATTGTAATTAAAATAATTTACTTAAATACATTTACCTAAATGTATGTGCATCATTCTATAAATCAACAAACATGAATTCTCTTGCTGGGTAATGCTACCATCTATTGCACCATGCTCCTCAAATCCCTGAAATCACAAAAGGGTGAGAAAAGAGGACTTCTCAGAGATGGCCACTCACACTCACAGAGAACTTTAGGCACTGTGGGTATCTCCATTTTGTGTCTCTGTGTGACCCTGGCAGAAATTTCTGGAACTGGCCAAGCAGGTTGGAGAGTTCATCACATGGAAACAAGTGGAATGTCCTTTCGAACAAGACCCCAGCATCACCCATTACCTGTACACTGCCCCCATCTTCAGCGAGGACGGTAAGGTGACCCTGCAGCCTTCCTAACCCCCTCAGGCCATGGGACTCTTGGGTGGCCTCTTAGTCACCATGCAGGAACCTCTACTCTGAGCAGGAATGCACCATCCCCACCCTTACTGGCCCTCAAATGGAGCAGAGAAGACTGCATTACCCAGGATGGCCAACTGTCCCATCAGGAACTCAGGATAGATCCCAGGAGCCATGGGCTGGGGCCTCAAGGACCCCAACTCCAGGCTTCTCCCTGGATACAGTCCGGACACTGTTGGGTATTTCAAGTCTGAACCATCTGGGTATATTACCCCATTTTTCTCATTAGTGAAGTGAGAGTGAGGGTAAAACTGGGGCTCACATGGGGATGGCTAAGCACTGACTGACTTTGGGTCTTTCCATGGCTGGTCTTTCCACATGTGTATGTGTGTGAGAGTGTGTGCTGGTTTAGGTGTGTAATACACACTGGCATGATGTGAGTTGACTTTTCTGCAGAGTGCTGTTAACGTCTGTCTATCCCTTCCAGTAAACATACATTCCCATCTAATCACTTGTCACAAATCAGTTTGCTTGCAAATTTGCTAAGTAGTAAACCCTGAGATCCCCCTTTCAGAAAGCAAAAGCTCTACAGAAGACAGCTGTCAGGTTGTCATCCGCTGTGGGGGCAGTGTGGCCCAATGCTTAGCAGCTCTCACCCTGGGATCTGCCCTCCACTCCGGCACACAGGAGACCCGGCTCATCTTCACCAGCACATGGGTTACAAAGGGACCAACAAACATCTGTGTCTGGGGAACATTTACGGCCCCACCAAAGGGGAGAAAATAGGAAAATTAGGGAGACGAGCTTTTTTAATGATTTGCCTTTGGATACTTCCAACTTTGCCATTTTACTTTTCATATTTGGGACCCAGAAATTGCTGAAGGGAGTTCTACCTATATTTGTAACCTCCTACTACCTACCTCCATCAAGAAACAGAGCAAGCTGGGTATGGTGGTACACACCTGTAATCCTAGGAGCTTGGGAGGCTAAGGCAGGAGGGTTGCAAGTTAGAAGCTAGCCTCAGCAATTTAGCAGGGCTCTAAGCAAATTAGTGAGACCCTGTCTCAAAATTTAAAATTTTTTAAAAGGCTGGGGATTTGACTCAGTGGTTAAGTACCAGGTGTTCAATCCCTTGTACTGCCCTCTCCCACCCCACCCCCAACACACACACAAAAAAAGGAAAGCAATGGATAAACCAGCCCAGGCTGCTTCACACAGAGGTCTGTATGAACTCAGGTATCACCTTCTCTAAGCCTCACCTACTTCCTCTATCAAGTGGGGTAATGAGAGAACCTTCTTCCTGGGGCAATAATGAGAATTACTTGAGTTGGAAGAGGTAAAGCCCACAAGTCTGTACTCAATCAATGCTAGTCTGCAGTACTCCCCTCTATTCACAGAGGATATATTCTAAGATCCCCAGTAGATGCCTAAAACTGTGGATAAACCCAAATTCTATATGTACTATATTTTTCCTATGTATACATACACAAATATAATACCTTTTTCCTCTTATCATGCACTATGGTCATAATTTTTTCAGTTCAAAGTGTGATGGCAAAACTAGCACAAATTTCTTTTTCCTTGTTCACAATTTTACAGATGGAAGATTTGTTCCTACCACAGATCTTAGCAACCTCAGCATATGATTTTTTTTCTTTCCTTGTTTAGTGGAAATCATTCCCCTTTGCACTTAAAGGAAGCATTTTACAACCTTTGGCATATTGAAATTACCAGCACCCCTACTCTTGTGATTTAGGGCCATTATTAAGTAAAATAAAGATTGCTTGAACACAAGCACTGTGATTCCATGACAGTTGATCTGATAACCAAGAGAGCTACTTGTGTTAGTCAGCTTTTTGTTGCTGTGACCAAATTTCCTAACAAGAACACCTTAGAGGAGGAAAACTTCCTTTTGACTTACAGTTTCAGAGATTCAGTTCATAGATGCCTGACTTCATTGCTTTAAGCCCAAGGCGAAGCAGAACATCATGGTGCAAGGGCATAGCAGAGGAAAACTGCTCACCTCATAGCATTCAGGAAGCAGAGTGGGAACAGTGAGGATCCAGAGACAAAATATAAACCCCAAAGGCATACCCTAGTGACCCACTTCCTCCAGCCATGCCCCACCTGCCTAAAGTTACCACCCAGTTGGTCCATTCAAATGATAATCCATCAAATGGATCAGTATACTGATTAGACTGTGGCTCTCATAGTTGAATCATTTCACCTTCTTCATTAATACAGGAGTTTTGAGGGATACCTCATATCCAAACCATAATGCTGCTAAGTGACTAACAGGTGGGTAACATATATAACGTGGATACACTGGAAAAAGGAATGAATCATGTACCAGGAAAAATGAAGTGGGACGGCGTGAGATTTTATGTTACTCAGAATGGCATGTAATTTGAAACTTATAAAATGTTTACTTCTAAAATTTTCCATTTAATGCTTTCAGACCATGGTTGACCATGAGTAACTGAAACTTCAAAAAAGAAAAACCAAAGATAAGGAGGGACAATTGTATTAGGTTCCTATGGTTACTAAAACAAATCACCACCAACTTGATGGCTCAAAACAACCACAAACTTATCCTTGTGCAATTCTGGAGGTTGGATGTCTAAAATCAGTTTCACTGGGCTAAAATCAAATTATCAGCAGGTCTAGTTTCTTCTGGAGGCTATGGGGCTGGGGTGGAGGGATCCATTTCCTGGCCTTTTTCTAGTGGCTGCCTGTATTTCTTGGCTTGTGGCCCCTTCCTCTTTCTTCAGAGCACATCACCTTCAATCTCTGCTTCCAACATTGTATCCTCTTTTTTCACCTATAGTCAAATCTCCCTCTGTCTCCCTCTTATAGGGATTTGTGATTGCATTTAGGGCCCAATCAGATGATCCAAGATAATCTCCCCATCCCCAAAATATTAATTTAATCACATCTAACATCCTAGGGGTTAGGACCTGGGTTTCTCTGGAGAAAATATTCATCCTCAACCAAATATACTAGTTATTATGATGATTATTGTCATTAGCCAATCACCTCATAGTGGAACTTGGGCAATGAAATGTGTCAAAGGTACATGAGAAGGGGTTGGCATTGTGGCTCAGGGAGTAGAGTGCTCGCCTAGCACATTCGAGGCACTAGGTTCAATCCTCAGCATCACATTTAAAAAAAAAAAAAGGTACATGAGAAGAGGGACAGAGGTAAACAGTATTTCTTGAGACCCTGCAATGTGCGTGGCAGTGAGTCAGTAGTGAATATATAAACAAAACCCCAGCACTATTGAAAAAGTACTGAATTCTCAAAATTAGAAAAGACAAACCTACAGATTCAAAAGGTTGAATGAAGCACAAATAGGATCAACCCAAAGAAACCCATACCATGGCACATCACAGTCAAACTTCTGAAAACTGAAGAAAAAAAATAAGAGAGAGAGGGGTGGGGGTGGGGGGAGGAAGGGAGGGAGGGAGAGAGGAAGGAAAAAATTATCAGGTAATAATAACAGAGCAGAATTTATCAACTTGATAAATTACATCTACAAATAACCTTATAACATCATATTTAATAGTGAAAGACTAAATGCTTTCTTACTAACTCTCACCAAACTCTGAATCTGCTGGCAGCTAAGATGAATAACAAGGCAAGGAATGTTCTGTTCCCTAGTTAGTCAACATAGTTAGTGTAATAAGGCAAGAAAAGGAAACAACAGATCATAAAGGGAAAAAAATCACACTATCCATATTTGCAGATGATGATATTTTTTTAAAAAATTCAAGGAATCTACAAAAAGTCCTGGAGCTGCCAGGCCTGGTGGCACACACCTGTAATCCAGTAATTCAAAAGGCTGAGGAAAGATAATCTCAAATTCAAAGCCAGGCCCTAAACAACTTAATGAGATCCTATCTCAAAATGAAAAGTAAAAAGGGCTGAGGATGTTGCTCAGTGGTTAGGCATCCCTAGGTTCAATCCCTGATACCAAAATAACAACAACAATAACAAGGCTGTTGTTATATAGTACAGTAATCAAGACAGTGTCATACTGCAAGAGGAGACAGACTTAAGGATCAATGCAGAAGAACAGAGAACCCAGAAACAGACCCACACAAATGTACCCAAGTGGTTTTTAACAGAAGTGCAGAAACAATTGAAAGGAGTCAAGATAGTCTTTCAAAAAACTGTGCTGAAGCATTTGGACATCCAAAAACCAAAAAAATGAACCTTAACTGAAGTCTAAGACCTTATACCAAAAATAAAATATAACTCAAAATGGATCACAGACAGAAATACAAAATGCAAAACTCTAAAACTTTGGGGAGTGGGGGCAAGAGAAAATTTTCAAAATACAGACTGTCCCCAACTTAAATAGTTTGGCTTATGATTTTTCAACTTTACAGTGAGAACAATGTCAATCTGTGGAAATTACCCTTCAAATTTTGAATTTGGATCTTTTCCTGGACTAGCAATATGCAATCCAATACTCTCTTGAAATGCTGAGCAGGGCAGTGAACCCCAGCTCCCAGTCCGCTCTGTGATCCTGAAGGAAAATATCCAAGACTCTACAGTGTGCTGTGTTGCTTAGCTATGATGGCCAGTAGATTAGGTGTTCAATGCACTTTAAAAAATATATTTTTTTAGTTTTCAATGGACTTTATTTTATTTGTTCACTTATATGTGGTGCTGAGAATCAAATTCAGTGCTTCACACATGCTAGGCGAGAGCTCTACCACTGGGCTACAACCCCAACCCTCAAGGCACTTTTTACTTAAAATTATTTCACTTTACAAAGGGCTTATTGGGATGTAATCCCATCAAAAGTTGAGGAGCATCTGTATAGAGCTAGGTAGAATATTTTATAAAACTAAATATGTAAGTTATGTGACCCAGTAATTGCACTGTTGACCATTTTTTATTCTAGACAAATGAATACTCAAGGTCACATAAAAGCAAAAAATCTGTACACCAATGTTTATAGCAGCTTTATTTGTTATAGCCCAAAACTAGGAACAACCCAGATGTCCTTCAGTGGGTGAATGGTTAAACAAACTATAATACATCTTTACCATGTCCTATGTAGCTACAAAAAAGAACGAACTATCAATACACGCTATAGGATGGATAAATCACCAGAGTTATGATAAGTGAAAAAAGACAATCCCAAAAGGTAACATACTCTATGGCTCAATTTATATAACATTCTTGAAATGACAAAAGATCAGTGTTTCCAGGGGTTAAGGAAAGGATGGGGCTAAGAAGGAAATAGTTGTGGCTATAAAAGGTCAACATGAGGGATACTTTGGTGGCAATGGAAATGTTCTGAATCAGTATCAATATTCCACTTGTGATATATACTGCACAGATGCTCCCCAACTTACGAAGGAGTTACATCTCAATAAATCTCAGCATGCATTAGAAATATTCTTAAGTAAAAAATGCACTGAATACACCTAACCTACTACTGAATACACCTAACCTACCTCAGCCTAGCTTACCTTAGATGTGCTCAGAACACTAATATTAGCCCACGTTGAGCATAATCATCTAACACAAAGCTTGTTGTATAATAAAGGTTCTTGTATAATTCATTGAATATGATGCACTGTTGAGTATTGATTGTTCCCCTTGTGATCACCCGGCTAACTGCCTGGTATCTCAAATGAGATCTTCCCACCTATCACTACCAGGGAAAAGACACAAATTTGAAATTCAAAGTGCAGTTTCTACTGAATGAGTATCACTTTCACAGCATCATCAAGGAATGGTATAAACTATACTATACTATAGTTTATTGGAGGAAAATTGGTCAAATGTTTACAGGATCTTGGCACATTATTTCTTACAACCACATGTGAATCTACAATTGTCTGCAAGCAAAAGTTCAATTTACAAATAAAATGTAGACCCAGGTCTGAGAGTAGTACCGATTATCATCATCTACCATAATTATATAATTTCACTTCCTTTTCTGCATAGGTCTTTATTTGGCTTCTTATGAAAGTGAGAGCCCAGAGAACCAAACAGAAAAAGAAAGGTGGAAATCTCTAAGGTCAGTCTTTGTGCCAGGATGGGTATAGGGTGGGTGGAGGGAGGGGGTTGGGCTGCTTGGAAGAGGGCTAAAGGGCTTCTGAGATACCTGATCATCAGTCTCCTGGGGCCTTGGCCAGACCATAGACAGGGAGAAGAATAAGCCCAAGTTCATAGGGATTGGGACAGAACTCAAGGGCTAGGGTAAGTCCATGACCACTGGTAGCTGGTAGTTGCCTCTTTGGGCAATCAAGACATGTGTCCCAGGGCCAGAAACTTTCAGTCCATATTTCTACTCCAGAAAGCAAAACACACATACCATATCCTGTTTATTCTGCATGTTAATGACAGCAGAATGGAGATCAGAAATGAGTCACAGCAATGGGCTCGTGAGGACTGAGCCAAAAAGACTTGCCAAACATTCTCTGGCCACCTCCTCTCATGTGCTGTGAAGGTGTCCATGCTGGGGAGAAATCAGGACTGGGACCCTCATCACTTTCTGGCATTTTTAAATCTACAGATCTTCTATTTTGGGGAAGACTTGAGAAGCCTGGAGCTGAAAGAGGAGGAAGAGATGGAGCCAGCAGAGGCCATCCACAGCCCCGCCTCAAATGGCCCAGTTGGCGGAGGCAGAAGCAGCGCCTCACTACTTTGCAAATCAAGCCCTTGTGGCCTTGGTACCCACCACAATAGCTGCATGGGTACAGGAAACCTACTGTGGGACTTCAGCCCTGGCAGACTAGACAGGGCCCCCAGACACATGGGTGGCATACGCCTTGGTGACTACCTGCCTTAAGGACGGTAGAGGCCACATTGCCAGTCAGTCTGTCCATCCTGGACAAGGACATGGTGCTACTCCCAGAGAATTGAGCGACTGCAATCGCATTATCTTACTGAGTGACATGCACCACAGAAGTCCACACAGTTTGTCACCAGTTGGTTGAGAGTCTCTGGAACTATAGCAGGCATCATGACATGATGTGAAATAAGCCTATACCAGCTCAGAGCCGACCAGTGGCCCCTGCCATTCTGCTGACAGATTGCTACCCTGCCCCTCCCAATGGGCTTGTCTCTGCAGCCCCATGCACCCTTCCCTTTCTGGATCCTGCTGATATCAGGATAACTTTCTGGTGACGGCTGTGAAACAGCTTAGCAGGACACACGTGGGTCACCAAGTTGACAACATGAACATTACAATCCTGTTGCATAGCTCCCTTGTAAACTTTAGAGTTGGTATAAACACATGTTCATAAATCCTGGATATCCACGTCCACTCTGAGTCACTGACTTCTGGATTTTAAGTAGCATTCAACCAAGATGCAGGGTTGTTTCTTAAATCAGCCCCAAGAATGTTTGCCGCTGACATTCAAGAGTAGGAAGTGGTGGCCATTTCCTATCCATAGACCCCATGTCATGCTGACAGAGGCTGGTGCATATCAAGTGCTCAGTAAATCTGTGGTGAATGGATACCAACTGCCTGCATGTGTTCAAATGCCTCTTGTACAGAGAAGGTGGCAATAAAACCAATAGGGAACACCTTGCGGCTCCCCCACAGTCTTCACCCAGCCTGTATTTCTAGTCCCTCCTATACTGGACCAGGAAGCAAATGAGCAGTGGAGCAGCTGAGGCCTCACCTGGCCTGTGATGAGTTCACCTAGTCAGGAAGTTATGGAGTGCGATATGCACCCTCTTTGCAGGTCAAGGACTGCTAGGTGTGGGCACAGGTGTAGGAAGTAGATGGAGTGTTGAGATGCACTGGCCCACCCCACCTGGTTCCTGCCCATGTTAGGCCCCGCAGTGGCTGGGACCCACTCAGAACAAGACTGGGACTGTCTTGGGGGACAGACAGGGAAAAGATAACCAGCGGCTATGAGTGCCTCACCCAACTCGGGAAACTGTACCTGGTGAACCAGGACTTCAGTAAGGCCCCAGGAGGACCCAGGAGCCAGAACCCTGGCGGAGTTGTGAGAGTGCTACATATTAGGGTTGCACACAACCAACCATCCCCCTTTTCCCCTGAGACCCCAGAAAGGGCAAGTAGAGTAGGCAGATAGTGGCAAAGTAGGAAACTAGTCTTGAGATGATCCCAGGCTCTCTGCCCCTCCACATTCCATGTACTGCTCCCAATGGGGACCTGAAATGGTGCTGTTGGGGCCAAACTCAAGAAGACTTGAAATTCCAGGAGCTATCTAGAGTCACCTCCTCATTTCCCTATCCCTACCCAAAACTGTCTCTCAGTTCCTGGCATCCCTTAGGCAACATTAGAAAAGACCCTCTTCGGATGGCAGCAGGAACTGTCCCTGCTTCCTGGCTGTGAAGAGTATTGCCTGTCAATATCTGGGGAAAGCAGTCTATAGTTAGGCTGGGCTTAGCAGGTACAAGATCAATGCTCAGGGCCTGGCTTCAACCAGAGGAGACCGTCTCCTGCTCCAGCTGTAGAAATAGGGGGCAGGGGTTCTCCCCTCACCCCAAGAGCCAAGGCCATGCTGACCTCCTGGTTTTACCTCCTTACTCCTAAGTTAATTGGTTCAGGGGCCTATGAAGAAACTCTGAGCTTGGGAGTCCTGGGGGCAACTGGCCAAGATGCCCTCTCCCTGCCTCATGCAATTCCTCACCCAGGCCTAGCATCCTAGCTCTCTCTCCAAGTTCAGCCTCAAAATGCCTCCCACAGCCAGGCATCTCCACTCCTTTCCTAGAGGCCAAAGCCTGAACTCAGTTCTCCCTATCAGCAGCCTCATCCCTGGCTGTGGAAAACATGAAGAAAGGAGGTTGAGAAAACAGTCCAGTCCCACTGAGACTGAAATGTCATGAGTTAGCTGGAGAGGCAGGTCGAATCCTATCAGCATTTATTAAAGATAACTCCTGGCTTTACCAACCCCATTGCAAAAGAAACACAGAACTTTCGCCCTCCTCTGGCCTTGTACACACTTTTTGTACTGCTGTTCCCCACTTTGTCAATCTAGTCAAAGCCACAGCCTCAGGCGCAGGACTGTCTTCTAGAAACAATTCCTGATAGTGTTACGAAAATCATGCTCAGCAAGAGACCAAGCATCACTGGGAGAGTTGGAGAAGTCAGGTTTATTTATGCTGGTGGACCCAGATGAGCCAGTGCTCTGAAGTACTGGGCCTGGAGCTGAAGTTACATGGCGATTTTATAGGAAAATTTGACATCATTTCTTAACCATTACAACATTGGTGGGTTTGAATTCTTGGCCTACAGGATCAGAAACCATGCACAGGAAATTTACTATAAGTAGTTCACAGGTGTAGAATAAACAGTAAAACACCTGTGAGTGATATTGTAAAGTGGCTTTCACCACAGACAGCAGTAACTCAAGATGACCTGAGTTTATCTCCCTACGAGAGATTTGTAAGAACTAAGTCAAGGAGGTTGTAGTTTGGATACCAGTTAATTGGCCTAGCAATTAAGTGATGCAGCTACATTCCTAGAGAGTTCAGAAAGTTTCAAAGTATAAGAAGAAATGACCCTTTCTAAAAGGACCTGTTGAATCTCTGGACTGCTATTTACAAACCAATAGATAGGGACTTGTGGTTAATTAGGTCCCCCAAGAGGTTGACAGAGGAGAGGGACAAAATTAACCCTTTCCCCAGACATTGGTTCTTTATCATAACACTCTAATAATTTCATTTTGTAATCAGGCCTGGTATCACTGCCACAATAGAAGCCCTCTCACCAATACCTGTCAGCCCCTCAGTGACATAGCACAGAATAGGAATCAGGGGAAGATGTAAAGGTGAGACCTAGACTCTCAGAGCTCACCTCCAATTGCAGGAGAGTCCAGAGCAGGAGAGGAGGCAGCCTATAGCCAGACCTGTAGAGACCACAGTGTTGAGGGGGCTCAGGCTGAGTATGTTTGTGCCTAAGGACCATCCAAGAGGACCTCAAAATTGCTCTCTACATTTCTGAGCAACTGCCAGGCCCTGGTAGAGCCAGGAAGAGTAAGGTCCCTCAGAGGACTCAACCAGAAGCCTCCCACCTATACCAGGGGGAGATCATTTTACCCCTTCTCCAGGTGCAGCCTTGGAGCCCAGAAAGGGTGGGCCTTGCTCACAGCCACACGGTCTGTTCCTTAGCCACATCCAGAACTCATGGCCATTCCCTGCAAAGATGCTTCTGCCCTCCTGTCATTCTGGCTCCAGTCCTTATGGCTGGCCATAAGGGAGAGTCCACAGGGGCTCCATAAGGCAGAGCCTATAATGATGAGACAAGTGTCAACAGCACAAATGGTGCCCAAGAATGTGGTGCCAAGTGATGCAAACTGACACACAGCTCAGGTTTGGAGCTACCTAGCTCAGCCATGCAGCTGGCACCAGGGAAGGAGGATGGCTGTGTGTGGAAGGCCATCCTCCCCATGTGATTTGAGTTACCTCCCTGGCTGGGCAAGAGGCGCTTAGGCACATCTTGTGTCCAGAGCTTTCCCCATCCTTCTCAGGTCCAAGAGATTGTCCATGCGGAGGCGTGTCTGGCCACTACTCCGAAGACCCAATCATCACCCCTGACCTTGGGATGCTGCCCCCCTTAATCTTCATTAGATGGGATTTTCCCCAGAATTTGTTGTTCCCCAATAAAAGTCCACTCCCTGGCGTGTTGGTTCTCTCTCTCTCTCTCTCTCTCTCTCTCTCTCTCTCTCTCTCTCTCTCTCTCTCTCTCTCTCTCGCCTCTTCAGTAAACCCCACTACCACAATAGATGGCTGGAAGCTGGGGCTAGGAAGAGCCATCCTGGAGCTGATTTTAAAGGTAATTAGAGTCTTGTCTCTTTAATTCAAAACTCCCTAGCGGTTTCTCACGTCTGGAACCTTCATTCATGAAGCCGGCACTGGTCGCATGGGCTAAATTTGGCTCCCTGAAGTGAGGCACAGGAGTCAAATCGACTAGGTTGAGTTAGAAAGCGCACTATAGATATGCAGAATTTGTGACAATTTTTAGGGTCACGGAGGTACCAGGCAGTTTTTGGAGCTAAGGGATGTTAAAAGAGTTAATAATGGGAAATTCAACTTCTACCAATAAGGACATGTTTTTGTTTTGTTTTTTTAATTTTTATTTATTTTTTTTAGTCATACATGACAGCAGAATGTATTTTGATATATTATACATACATGGAATGTACATACATCAATCATATTGTCTATTCTATTCTGCTGCCCTTCCTATCCTCCCTACTTCTCCCCTCCTCTCCCATCCTTTCTCTCTATCCAATCTAATGTAACACACTTTTTTTTCTTTTTCTCATTACAACATCATATATGTATTCTGTATAACAATGAGGTTCTCCTCCCATCTTCTGTGCAACTCCCCTTCTCCCTCTTTTT